TTATCTTAAACAAGGAAAGATAAATGTTAAAGAAATCTTGTTGATCAGGTCCATACATTTACAGGAACCAAAAAAAATAATACCCAAAGACCAAAAAGAAATCTCTTGCGAAAGCTCATCCATTGTAGGAATCTTGTTTTGACAAAAGCAGAATAAAGCGTCACAGTTGCCAACACAATCCAACATTTGTGAAGAAAACAGGCTAAATCTGGTGTGCAGGGATTTAAGTGAAGTGTAAAGTGAAGACCGAGGTTGGCAGCCGCTACAGATTAGTCCAGGTTTTCCACACGAAACCCTCTGTGCTGACAGGAGGATAAATACTAACGGCTCGATTTTCAAGTTCATGCCTTGTTGTGGTGTTCCTTTACTGCACAGCACATCAACAGACCGTACATCACAGGTTTGTCACGACCACAGACTGGACTCATATTTCTAAGCTAACAGAGAAATGAACCCTTTAACCACTGAAATCGAGAAAAAAAAAACATTACATTAAGAGTTGTAATCGTCACTGAAACTGAAAAGAAGCAAACATTATTCATCATGTGTCCTCAATTCACACACCACATTGACTACTAAGTGGGCATATGGCTCAAATTCTCCATGCTCGACAATTAAGTCCTATTAAAACACTCCAATCATAAAATTTGCCATTTTACCACGGCTACACACCGACCACATTCATTTCACATTGATGTAACCTCTGGTTGAAATCCAACACCAGCCAGTCACACAGTGTTTAGTGTCATGACTGTGTGAGTAACCTTTTTCTACAACCTTCCGCTGACACACAAACCAACATAGATTTCCAACAAATATATCGATGTGACAAAGTATTTAAAGAAAACTGTTACCATGCCAATGAACAATCAATAAAATCAACAAAGCAACCACAATGCCACATGCTTTTAGACTTCATCACACTTCAACCAGTAAAACAATAGCAGAGTGGCCAAAGAGAAAGATGTTCTTACTTTAATCGAGCAGACTTGTCAGAGTCCCAGAGACACAGACCCAGGCAGAGAAGTGTTAAGAAGGTATATATTGCAATCTGTGAAGGCCCTCTAAATCCTCCACTTTCTCTTTATGGAAGTGGATTACTAGACAAACCAATGAGCTGGCAAGGTCATGAAATACAGTACAGTGTCATCTGCCCCCTTCCTCTGACCGCCTCATTATAAATAACCCGCCCTTTAAGATTCTTATCTGTATTATCTTGTGCCATCGAGCTCCTGATGCACAAAATGCAGCAAAGTGATTAAACCACAGAGGCATTTTGTAATCAACAGTTAATATAAACAAACATAAGTTATTTAAAGGTTTGACAAGATACAGCAAATGTGCTGTTGTTTATTAATCTGGAAACATTTTAAATTTCATATTCTAGTTCAGATTTCCACTAACACAGAGTGGAGTATTTATAATCCGACAGGATATATGGAATCATTGGTGTTATGAGATTATAATGAGTATTCACATGATGGCAGAAATATGAGGCAGGACATCTGTGGGGAGTTTGTGCAGCTTGACAAAGACATAGTTGCAATTTTGTCAAGCACAATGGATTTTTAAAGAGGCGGAAGGAAAACAATGACTTAGAATTTTACTGTTTGGTGTTTCTCTTTGTTATACTTTTAGATTTTGGTAGTGGAGCAGTCATTATCTTCATGTCATGATTTCGGATTGTACCTTTAATAAAAAGACTGAAGTAAATTGAACTCACACAACAGTTGCAGCAAAGATGGAGCTGTCCTAGAGTCAGCTTGATACCTGAAAAGACAAAAACATGTTAATATACACTCAATTATACATCTATGATGTATGATGTATATTAATACACAGAATACATAAACAATCACAATTATTCTATGAACATATCATTTATTTAATTCAACCATGTTTTCACCAGCTTCCACTTTACATGCATTACAACTGCATTATAGTGTTATAAACCATATGCTTATATACTGCTTTTTAATGCTAAATTAGTTTAAGTGTTACTATATCAACATTTAAAATCAACCAATATAACAAATAAATACAGTAATAATGGTAAATAAAGACTTACCTCTGATCTTTTCCTGGATGGTTGAGAAATGTTTTACACAGATATAAAAACCTGAGAAGTTTCCAATAACAACTGCAGTTCATAGAGTTCATATGAAGGGATAAATAATTTGTATGAAATTATTGGGGCTCATGTGTCTCGCTGTTTCTCACTATACGATTACACCTCCTTCCAGGATGTGATGAAGATGACACCTCTTTAAACTTGGGTCCGTCTTACATCATTAGAGGCTTTGCACATCATAAAACCGGAACTACCAAGTAAGAAGCATGGATGGATTACCAGACACACCTACTAGTCACTTCATGCATGTTCTGACGTATGGAACCTCTAAGTCCCTGCACCAGAGCCACTGTATGAAAGTGAGTGTCAAGAGTTCAATTATAAGATCAAAAAATGATCACAAAGAGACGAAACAAGCAGCAATAGAATCAACTATAGACACAAACAACTACAAAGTGACGAAAAAAGATCCTTCCCTCAAAAAATTACAGAGAAATATCCACAAAGATTTCAAAAGATTTCATGTACTCCTAATTATCTGCATGCATTAGCTGTTGTTCAACAGCAGTTACCCAAATATGTGTTACCCAAGTATCCATAAGTCTTTCTGTTTTGTTTTGGGGAAAAATAATGTAATTGTCATATTGTCAATGCGTATGTCAGGAAACATTAAACTGGTGTTTGGATCAAACATAATCTCCGATAACTCAACAACATGTGAGCAACAAGAATATGACCAGAAAACCAGAGGTGGGTAGAAACACATTATATTTACTCCGTTACATGTACTTGAATATAGTTTTCTCAGTATATTTTACTTCTTAGAGTGGTTGTTTTGTAGAATACTTTTAACTCCTACTGATCTTACATTTACATTTACATCCATATTTATGTTTTATTCATTTTCACACTGTGGACACAGTGAAGGCCAATCAAAAATCAGCTAGAAGCAGAAATACGTGGTTGGGGGTTCAGTATCTTGCTCAAGGACACCTCGGTATGAGGAATGGGAGCGACATGGATCAAATCGCAAACCTTCAGGTTAGTTGACCCCCCCTTTGTAGATCCCCTGTTATTTATAAATTTTCATTTAGACTGAAAATGACTTTAAGTCAAGACTGACTCTTGAATTTGTAAATATTAAAAATATATTAGTATTCATAGTCTTTGGAGAGCTGGTGGTATTTTAGTTGTATGTGTAGATACAGTATGTGTACGACAAATGTGTAAATCCAAGTAAACATGAGGAAACAGCTCCTTCAACAGGTTTTACTTCTTTATTTGACAGAACTTTTCACAGCTTACATATTAATTATCTGAATGGTAATTTGAACCAGTGCAGTCAATGTAAAACAGAGACCACATATTCTGCAGCTTTGTTAAGACACTGACTTAAGCCTCGGTCTCAAACATCTTCTTTCTGCCATCCATGCCAGCTTTGTCTTCAATGTTTTTACGCCAGTCCCCGACGTCACGCAGTTCTTTATCCTGAAACACCAAGACAACAGGAAATGGATCAGGACCAGGTGGTTTCATGAAACATGACTTTACTTAACTCAACAAATCAGAAATTATATTCGTTAATTATTAATTATATATTATAAGAATCAAATGTACACTATCTGGTCGAGGCTGGACATCTGGACCTACCCGAATCAAGCTTAATAAACATGATTAATGGAAGAAGTTATAGTGGTATATAGTAGATATAGATTAGGTGAAAAATAAGTGCAAGCCTTTGGTTCAAAAGGGTTGTACTTAGTCTTTTAATGAATCGTGGGTGTGTTCTGGTGTGTGGGTGTCTGACAGCCACTCGTTATTTAAGATGGCTTCTAATCATCACAGAATGTTTGCGTCACAGCAAAATAAATCACTGATTGCAAGTTGGACAGTGTGCAGAAGGTTTTGTTCCCTGTGTTCTGGAGGATAATGAATAAATCAGATGGACATTCTCAGCTACTGACTTCAGTGCACATGACCACACCTCATTTTACAACCAACACACCCATGGGTGCTAAGATGGGAGCAAGCATTTTCGCTATTTAAATATTTGTGCTGGACAAGAAAATGAGAACAGAGTCAGTCTGAAACTAGCAGAGGAAGTTGCGTTGTGCTCTGCCTCGCTCTGTGCTAGTTAGATAGCCAATATTAACCTTGCAACACATTTACACTGCACATGTGAATGAGTCCAGCCAGCTCCTCACCTCCTCTTTCACCTCCTTCTTGACCTGCTTCAGGTTGGCCCTCAGGTCCAGGTTGACTGTGTGTTTGGAGCCCAGCAGAGCTTTCAGCATGGCGTCAGCAGACATACGCACTTTCCTCAGGACAGGCTTCTTGAATTTGCCCATCAGGTCCTGAACCTTGATCTTCAGGTCATCGATCTAGAAGGTAGAAAGTGGTGAGGGACAACCAGTGGCAAAATGAAGCCATGATTCACCACGAACAGAGCAGTAGGCCTACAGCTAAGCAGAAAATACTAAATATAATACTACTGGCCTTTAGCCATGTTTGCAAACACAGCACACGCTCTATGCTCTCGCCCAAGGGGCACATGACGACATCAGCGATACTCAGCAGTAACTCCAGCTATGCAGCTATGCTACCCGAACTTGCGATGCTACCGCTCACCCCACACGCACCCTTGGGCAAGAGCTTGAGTTCGCGTGAACATGGCTCCAGGCAGGAGGATATCAGAGGACATTTAGACTACATGACGTGTAAATGACGCCTTTTCGATTCGAATTTGAATGTCGGAGCTTATGGACACTTGGAGCAGTATGAAAATATTTTATGTCTTTTTCCGTTTCAAAAAGTGGTCCCAGTTACTTGTTAATTGTGTTGGATGAACACCATTTACCCCTGAGACTCCAAAAGTGTTTTGTGGACTCAAACACACACCCCTCTATCTGCATAGTGGCGAGTAGATAACAAGTGAATTTCTCTGTGAACTATTCCTTTAAGATGGGTTATAGGGTCATTAAAATCTATAGCAAACCTCAGCAGTCTCCGCTTTAGTTTCCTTTTTATTCTGCCTGTTGTCTTGTTTCCTCTTTTATTTTGTCTAGTTTCAGGTCACTTCACTTCCTGATCCTCCTGTGTTTCCCTCTGTCCTGTTATTTTGAGCATGATTCTGTCTCAGTGTCTGTGTGTTGTGTCTCTGGCCAGTGTGATATAACCCCCCACAGGGAGCATTACTATTCCTTAATCACTCTATTCATAATTTCCCAGAACTCCACACACATTTTTATTATTAAGGGCACAGCTAATTCAGGTTCAGTGTATTGCTCAAGGACATTTCGACACGGGGACAGGAGGAGCTGGGGATCGAAACAACAACCTTACGATTGGTGAACGACCTCCTGGACTAAACCACTGAAGGTTCTGCAGGATTTATGATGTCAAATGATTTATTAATGATTATAATTTACCTCCTTGTCGGACTTGTTGACTTTCACCTCCAGGTTGTATCGCTCCTCATCGATCACGTCGATCTTGTGGTGGATCTCCCTGCACAGCTCCTGAACACAAACATCAACAACATGTCTTTTTTCAGAACATACAAGACAACATTGTAAATATTCATTTTTGCCAGAAGAGTTTGACGATAAGTTGCTAACCACCAGCAGATGTTAGGGACAGGGACATGGTCAGTTGTGTACCTTAGCGTCAGTGCGTGCTATGATCTTTTGACTACAAGACACCCTCTGCGAAGGCAGGACCATCACGTACTGATCAGACCTGGGTGTACTTAACATCTTTGGGCCCAGTTGGTGTCTGTCCTCCTTAAAAGTTAACCACTACATCAACTAAATCTGATCAGTGACAGCTGCACCTGGTTATTTGTTAACATCACATCATCTTACGGAGTAGCAGAGCCTTTCCAAGGCACGGTGGTGTGGTGGTTTGTACCACTGCCTCACAGCTAGAAGGTTTCTGTCTTGAATTCCATTTGGCCGGGGTCTCTCTGTGTGGAGTTTGCATGTTCTCTCTGTGATAGTGTGGGATTAGATTT